ATTCCAACGTTTGACATAGGCAAATATTTACATAGCAGGTAGGTATATAAAAAGGTATATAAAGACTTACATTATAGGTATTTATATATCATCCTCGCCTTCGGAGCTGTCGCTAGAGTCATCTTGTAGAGGAATTACAACGGGATTTACAGGAGGCAAAACACAATATTCATTTTCTTTTTCAATAATATGCCTAGAACACTGCTTCCATAGGTCTGTGGCAGCAATATGAGATACTGCATCTCTTATTGTGGCCAATAGCGATTCACTTAATTGAGGGGTCTGATTATGTTTTCTTACTTTTTTTTTAAAGCAGCCCAGACCAACTCAATCGGGTTAAAAATGCAGTAATAGGGAGGTAGACGTAATACTTCATGGCCATTTTGCTGAAGCAGATTGTCAACAACATACTCTTTTTCAAATTTTTGTCTTTTAATAAGATCCAATAATATGGCTTTGGTTGATTTTTGTGGTATTTCCATTCCCTTATCCTTCATAAAATCAATAATGTCTTGTTTTTTTGTGCCTGTATTCGGAATTTGTTTTTCTGTCGGGAATGGTATGGCGCATTGTCCATAATAATCACTGAATTTGGGGAAGTGTTTGGTATTAACTGCTGCTCTATCCACTTTTCAAATAAGTCGGAGGTCATGTCCTCATGATAGTCGGCACATGATTCTTTGATATTTTGGCAGATAACAGCAAGGCTTAGGTATAAATCCATTTTCACTGTCAGCATGGAGAATAATGATTCGTTTTCCACGGTTGCATGGTGCATTTAAAATGCACTTGTTGCTGTCGTCAACCCAGCCGTACTGCACAACATCATGAGTATCATACCACGTTTCATCCAGGTAAATCAGATTTCTTTTCTGCTCTCTATAGATTTTAACTTTGTGCAAAAATTCTTGCGCAATTCAACGATTCGAGACGACTCCATAATCACCATTCTTTTATCTAATTTTTTGTATTGAAACCACACAGTTTTACAATACAGTGCAGTGAGTGTAAGCATTTGTAATTATAAAAATCTTCAGGATAATCTTTTAATTTATATCGTATCATTTCCAACGTGGGCACCAAATTTTCTTTATAAAATCCGTATATTATACGACGAATATCTTCCTGAAAACCCACGTCTATTCTTTTTAATTTTTTGCCCTATGCGCTTTCTGTGGAAGGAATGGTTGACTACATCTCTCCTTTTTATAACCCGATAAATGGTAGACCGACTGATTTTTGTCAGGATACAAATTCTGTTTTAAAATTTGATTTGCGAGGAATCTGGATTTTCGTTTTTCAGACAATCATACATATTTAGGATTACTCTTTGGGTCTGTTCCTCTAAATCTTTATGAAGGAATTCTGCCTGCACAGGTTCATCAACCATCTCCTCGTGGCTTGGAGCATTTTCCCAAGGTCTCCAAAGAGCCATATTTAGGACACACAAGAACAATCAACACAACAATTAATCAACAAGTAAACTGAGTATTCAAAAGTCAAAACACACAACTAATAAAATCTATGAAAAAACACGGACAGACTAAAGAAAACACGTTATTCACCGCTACACGGCACTGGCTAAACTGTTTCAATTTTCAGTAGCCACCTGCACTTGTTCGGAGCTCTGAAATACACGCTTCTCATTGGCTATGTCCACGCATAGGCGTGCTTTACTCCACGTGGACCGGTGAAACTGCCTTTGATCTTATACATATTTGCTGCGAAATTTGGCGATTTTTGCAGCAACAGAGCGTGTTAAATATAGATATATAAAACGCACCCGGTATTTCACAGTGTTTCAAGTGACTTCAGATAAAGTATACAGTTGAAATATTCTTATTTAGTTTTCGGTTTCAGTGCTCGATACTGTTTGATTTTTATTTATGGTACGATGCGTAACTTCACGAGACCGAAAATATTTTTAATGATCGTTTCCCGTATCGCCCTATCTTTAGAAAATATTTAAGGAACTTGTATCTAAATTTACAGCTACTGCTAATGTACACAACAAAAACAAACAAATTGGTGAGATCATAGTGAATCCCCAACAGTCTACTTCCTCGATCGCGAATGTATGTGAGGTTTGTCCTTCTACTGTATGGAGACTTTTGAAAAAGAATAACTATCACCCATACAACGTTCAAATGGTGCATCAGCTAACTGAAATGACCCTGATCGAAGAACAGAATTCTGCGAGACTGACGGAAACCATTACCTAGAATGTGGTGTCCACACATCAATTTCATTACATCAAGTTTGATTTTTTATAGAGTGTTCATTTAAAAACTTACCACCACGGATTTCTCGAAACCACTAATTAAAAGAAAAAACTTCAAACGATTTGTCAACGGGGACAATTTTTTGAACCAAAAACTACTTCTCCCCCTTTCACTTTCGGCGCCACAGGGTCATCCCCTCAAAAATTTTAAATGACAAGGGTTTATCGAGCTATTTGAAAGGTCTTTGAAGTCCTTTATTTTGACGTTTGATTTTTCAAAATCAGTCGATTCGTTTTCGAGAAAATTAGAAAATCTTTGTTTATCTTAATTTGTTTTCAGATAGAAAACAAAAACACACGAAATAACGCTTTTCATTTCAATAAGTGTTCAAAATGTCGCCCGTTAGGGTTTGGCAACTCTACAATTCGTTTATAATTTAAAACGGAAACTACCAACATAAACAGCAAGTTAGGGAGATTAGACGTGACAACAACCAAATAACAACCCGAATTTTGCGCATCTTCTTCATCAACACAGATATCCTGGGCGCACTGTATTTATTGTTATGTCTGTTTAGTTGTTTGTTGCTAAGGGAAAGAAAGAATTTAATTTGCTGTAAGTTTCCTTTGTGACAATCTTTGGATATTGAAAATTGATTTGTTGATTCAGAATTTACTTCTACTTATTGAAATAAATTGTCATTTAAAATTTTTAAGGGAATAACCGTGCCCCCCTTTGACGTGTCTCGGCATTTTTTCTTTGGTTTTCGATAAATCCGTGGTGGAAAGTTTCGAATGAACACCCTGTATGTCTAGATCACAAATACGGAGGCGTTTCAGAAAATTCGTTTTACTATAATATCGAGAACTTAAAACCGACAAATTACCAAAATCATATCACTTTAATATAATACCTCGATAGTTCCTAAAATATTCTAGAAAGCAAAGTCGTTGTTCTAAAAACAAAAAGATATAATCGTAACTTTTACATTTTGTACATGCATACATCTGTTACTTGCATCATAAAGATATATATTAATTACACAATAAATAGAGTATAAAATAATACTTGTGGGAGATACGAAGGGGAGATTTTTTTTCCTTATCACTCGGTGGCAAGAAAAATTGTTGTACATTTTCTGAGAACAGACAAGTGTATCTTACATCTAAGAATTATAGCCGGGTTGCCGGGGGACCTTCCTCCAGTTTTCGCCAAACAACCTGGAAACAAAACAGTTTGTGTTTGAAAACAGCGAATTGCAGGTTATTTCGACGTCGTTGTGTTACTGCTAGGATTTTGATGAAGTTTTCGCACAAGATTACTACTATACCATGAATAAAAAAGCTTTGTAGTTTTTGAAAACCGGTCTACCGGTGGCCAAAAAGTCGGAAAAAATAAAAAACGCTAAAACCTCGCTTTTGACATTTCAGAGACTCTTGATCATTTTTGGAAATTTTTTTGCAGGAGTTGAAACTTAAAGATTGCGTTAAATGTAACGTCTTTATTACTATCATCGAGAAGGGCACCACTACGCATGTCTGTCGAGCATCGCCAATAGGCGCTTCTTGTTAGGAGCCGACAAACGCGACAGTGTTGCCAGATTTCGCCTAGCGTCACGCGCGGCCTTGGAAACCCTATTTTTGAGACACCCCTCGTATACATGATACTTACATTACACATTTCTCTAACCAATGCTTTTTCTCCATCGTCCATATCTTGCGAGGCTGCATCGAATATATTCTCTCCTCTTTCTGGCACATGACCTTCTCTCTCTAGTTGTTCCCGAACTTCAAGAACCTAAAAAAATGAATAGCTCTAAGTAGACAATAGAATATATATATGTATAGGTGAAAAATTAAAGCTTCCGCCTTTTGTTGGGTACTTCGACAAAATTTAAGCAAAGAGGACTCTTTATACTTTTTTTAATTCTCTCTAGCTTTCAATGGACTTTGCCATCATCATCAGGAGCTGCAATTACAATGATAACAGTAGCAACAAAAGTGTAAATGAATTTAAATTGACTCAACTTACAGTAGTATGTGAGGATGTTGAGTCAATTTAAATTCATTTTACACTTTTGTTGCTACTGTTAGCATTGTAATTGCAGCTCCTGATGATGATGGCAAAGTCCATTGAAAGCTAGAGAGAATTAAAAAAAGTATAAAGAGTCCTCTTTGCTTAAATTTTGTCGAAGTACCCAACAAAAGGCGGAAGCTTTAATTTTTCACCTAACTGGTCTAGACGACAATGACCACGTCTCAAAATATATATATATAGAAAATGATCATGCAGAGAAAGGTATATAACAAAAAATAGGAAAATAATGGGCAAAATCCAGGAAAGTGGATTCGAGCAGAAAATAGGATAGGTAACCCGAGCGATACGTATTTCTGCTGGTTGGCTTCATCAGGCCCGAAATGAATGCACATATGAAAGTACAAACGTAGATACACATGCCCATGCATCCGGATACGGGTGTAACCTGACGAAACGAAGATGGAGAGGGAAAAAACCACACACGAAGTCCACAACAAGAGCCAACCTGTAGTACAAAATGGCTAGAAGACCTCGAATTTTTACGGCGACATCTAACCACAACCACGCGGCCGGTTACAGCCATTTGCTGTGGTACTTCAAGCCCAAAGGATTTACAAAGAGAAAATGGTCATGCGGAGAATGGTATATAACAAAAAATAGGAAAATAATGGGCAAAATCCGCAAAAATAGGATAGGTAACCCGAGCGCGTGGTTGTGGCTAGATGTCCCCTTGAAAATTTCAGGTCTTCTAGCCATTTATACTACAATGTGTAGGTTGGCTCTTGTTGTGGACTTCTTGTGTATTTTTTCCCTCTCCATCTTCGTTTCCTCAGGTTACTTTTGTAGTTGCATATGTGCATTCATTTCGGGCCTGATGAAGCCAACCAGCAGAAATACGTATCGCTCGGGTTACCTATCCTATTTTCCGCTCCAATCCACTTTCCTTCTTTTTGCGGATTTTGACCATTATTTTCCTATTTTTGTTATATATATATATTTATATAATGTATAACTGACTGATTTAAAATGCGCGTCAGTTTTGATACACGCATTTCAGCAGGTGGCGCCGTTGTTTAAAGCACATATTTCCAATTCATCATGGAGCACTACATGATCCCACAACGCGTCCGTATTGTTAAAACGTTTTACTTAAATAATGAGTTGATTCTTGCAACGATTCGGAAGCTACGACAAGATTTCTGTCACAATAATATGCGAAGTGTCAACACCATGCGTCAGTGAAGTAAAAGACTTGCCAAGGTCGGGCCGTGTCAATATGTGCTGTTTTAAAAAGACTTGCATTTGCGGCTATACAAAATTCAGTTAACCCAAAAATTACGGCGAAGAACAAACTGCTGTTCCACCATGAAAACGCAAATTTGTCGAATTAGGCTACGAACTGCTACCCCATCCACCGTATTCTCCAGATTTGACCCTGTGCGACTTCTTTTTGTTTTCAAACTTGACGGGCAGAAATTGGAGTCGAATCAGGAGGTTACCGCCGCCACGGAGGCCTACTTTGCAGACCTCCAGAAGACGTATGTTTCAGACGGGCTAAAGAAGTTTGAGCAACGCTAGGTTAAGTGCTCAGCTAGAAGGAGACTATGTTAAGAAATAAACCGCCACAAGTACTTGGACCGCCCTCAATGGTACTATCAGTGCATTTTGCGTTATTGTTCCATCATCGCGTGTTTGTGCCATACAGAATCAGAAAAAATGTAAATAGATACTATAAGTACGTCGTGAACTATACATCCATACCTGAAGAGCTCTAACAACGGCTTCTGGTCTCCCTGTCAGCACTGCGGGCGGCGCACTTCCATCGGCCGTTGGTACCGGTACTGCCATGGCGGGTTCTCCAGCTTTGATCGCCATTTGGTTCAATTTGGAGCATAATGCTCGCTTTTCGTCCTCTAGTTGGGATATGGTTTGTTCCAGGCTTCGCACGTACTGCATTATTTGATCTGAAATATTGAAAGGGGCAGTTGGTATGTAAGCTTTGTAACGAGTCCATCTCGGTGAATTGAATCGGAAAGTTCTTACTTTTTTTGCAATTTTCTCTAATGGACAAGCAGTTTTGTCGGAATTCCTAATCTATAGGTTTTCGGTCAGAACAACGAGCAGTCAAAATACAAGCGATGTTGAGAAAAAAAAATACACGGCTGACTTTCTTGAAACATCTTTTTTTTTGAATAAACTATTAAATTTTACAGGAATTGCATTTCTTGACAAATTTTGTTTGGCTTGAAGAGAAACTGGAAACCGAGGTAAAATCCATACGTTAAGAAACTTTAGCCAATTCATTTTTGAAAATACGCTGAAGTTTGGCATTGTAAATTACCCTGAAAAGTTCTGGAACCCCACTAGAGTTTATAAACTAATAATGGTAGAAAAACTGAGCCCCGCGATTGATAGGAAATTTCCCCAGCTATTCAAAGGCGACCTTGGATTTGACCTCGACCATGACCTTCAAAATCATTTGAGGGTCAAGTCATTTTTTTAATGGAACTCCTCATTTCTTACTCCGTAAGTGAAAAAGCAAACATTTTACGTTCAAATATGACCATCCCTAAATTTGGCCCTTAGGAGGTCATGGCCAAAGTCAAACTCAGATACGATATTCGAAAACCAGGTGTCGCATAGGTAAACTACTGAAACAGCATTTTTCATTATTTTTGGATATCCAATGGTGACCTTGTATCTGATATCAGCCATGGTGACCCCCAAGGTCATGTGAAGAACAAGTCAATTTTTGTAGCCAGGGAATAATCTCGAAAGAACAATGAATCTGGGTATTACTCAATTTTCTGAATTACCAAGAAATTATAGAGCTTGTTTTTGACCTTGGGCAAGGCCAAGTTCCAAAAATGGTAAGGGAGAAATTCGAACATAAGATTTTCCCTTTTCTCCATTCCCGCTATCAAAAGTATAGGGTCCCATTAAGAAAGAGTTGACTTTCAAATGTCATTGAAGGTCATGGCCAAGGTCAGATACAAGGTACCACTGGATATCCGGGGGAAAATCATGAAAATAACAAATCGGTAGTTATCTACTAGCTTTCAAGTTATATCAGCGTACCTGGGTTTGACCTTGACCATGATCTCCTAAGCTTGAAATTTAAGAAAGGTCGAGATCATATTTGAACGTAAAATTCACCGCCCTTTTCATTTAATGAGTCAAAAATGAGCAGTTCCGTTAAAAAAAATGACTTGACCGTCAAATTACCTCGAAGGTCATTATCAGGGTCAACTTCAAGGTCATTATTGGATAGCTGAAGAAACACCGTTTTCAAGATTTTCCCCAGATATCCAACGATGACGTTGGATCTGACCTCAACCATAATGACCTCCAAGGTCATGTGAAGAAAAGTCAATTTTCGTAGCCAAAAAACAATACTGAAAAAACAGTCAAGTCAGTTTATCTGAGGATTACAGTTTTCTGAATTACCAACAAAATTATACTTGTTTGACCTCGATGGTCAAGTTCAAAAATGGTCAAGGACATATTTGCACATAAAATTTTCCGTTTTGTCCATTCCCGCGGTCAAAAGTATTAAAAAAGGGTTGACCTTCAAATGACATTGAAAGTCACGACCAAGGTCTGATCCAAGTCCACCTTGACCATGATCTCCTATGATCAAAATTTAAAAATGGTCAAGATCATATTTGAACGTAAAATTTTACGCTTTTTTTCGTTTACGGAATCAAAATGAGAAGTTCCTTTTTAGAAAAATCTACTTGACCGTCAAATGACCTCGAAGGACATTTATTTATATTTATTTATATTTCATATTTCCTACAGGTGCAACCCAATTACAGGAAAAGCTCAAATATACAATCGATGACTTATAACAATTTATGATCGATTTACAGCTGCCATTATAAATATCGCACAGATCACAAATAGAGTTCATCAGACTGCACATTACATAAATTGGAGATTTCAACATTACGTTCGTCCGGCCTGCCGCACATTATTATCAATGTCAAGTTCAAGGTCACTATTAGATAGCTGGAGAAACATTTTTTTCATGATTATACTTCGGATATCCAATGGGGGGACCTTGGATCTGACCTCAATCATGATGACCTCCAAGGTCATGTGAAGGACAAATCGATTTTTGTAGCCAGGAATCAATCCTGAAATTTCTCCTTTTCTTTATTTCCGCGATCATAAGTGTAGGGTTCCATTAAAAAAGGGTTGACCTTCAAATGACTTTGAAAGTCAAATGACTTTGAAAGTCAAGGACATACTCGAACATAAAATTTCCCCTTTTCTTCATTTCCGCGGAAAAAAGTTTTCTGAACTACCAAGAAATTAAATTTGGGTTTGACCTTGAGCATGATCTCCTAAGGTCAAAATTCAAAAGTGGTCGAGGTCATATTTGTACGCAAAATGTTCCGCTCTTTTCGCTCACGGAGTGAAAAGGTGAAGTTCCATTTAAAAAAATCTACTTGACCGTTAAATGACCTCGAAGGACATTTATTTATATTTATTTATTTATATTTCATATTTCCTACAGGTGAAACCCAATAACAGGAAAACCTCAAATATATTAACAAAAAGAAAATAAAGAGACACATTGAAAAATTAAACTTAGCATCAATTGGCCTAAGTAAGTTCAGAATAAAATCGATGACTTATAGCAATTATGATTGATTTACAGCTGCCATTATAAATATCGCACAGATCACAAATAGAGTTCATCAGACTGCACATTACATAAATTGGAGATTCCAACATTACGTTCGTCCGGCCTGCCGCACATTATCAATGTCAACTTCAAGGTCACTATTAGATAGCTGGAGAAACGTTATTTCATGATTTTTCTTCGGAAATCCAATGGGGGGACCTTGGATCTGACCTCAATCATGATGACCTCCAAGGTCATGTGAAGGACAAATCGATTTTTGTAGCCAGGAATCAATCCTGAAATTTCTCCTTTTCTTTATTTCCGCGATCATAAGTGTAGGGTTCCATTAAAAAAGGGTTGACCTTCAAATGACGTTGAAAGTCAAGGACATACTCGAACATAAAATTTCCCCTATTCTTCATTTCCGCGGAAAAAAGTTTTCTGAACTACCGAGAAATTAAATTTGGGTTTGACCTTGACCATGATCTCCTAAGGTCAATATTTAAAAGTGGTCGAGGTCATATTTGTACGTAAAATGATACGCTCTTTTCGCTCACGGAGTGAAAAGGTGAAGTTCCATTTAAAAAAATCGAATAGACCTCCAAATGACCTTGAAGGTCATGATCAAGGTCAACTTCATGGAACTTCCGGAACTTTTCAGAATTTTAGGAACGGAATTGGACGCTGTTCATATTTTGTCCTCATTCAGCCTCTTTTTGTGATTTTTGGATGTACCTACTACTCTAAAAAATGTCACTTTTTCTAAATCATCTTCTATATGACGGACTTGCTCTCAAATTCAGCGCTTTATTCCTACGTTATCGAACATTCTCCGTCTGCAGCTGCTTCATTATAAAAAAATGTCCCGTGTGTTTTTCGTTTATGAATACGTTGAGGAAAAGCATATATCAAAAACTTTTCTAGCTGCTGCTGCCAACATCAATTCATCATTGTCTCCACCACGTGAGGGATATCGATCGAAGCAAACAAGAAAGCAACATCTAGCAGCTATTAGGAATGGTCAGGATTTCATTCATTCCTTCTCCGAATGTTACCGCTCTCCCCCCCTCCCATTTCTGCCCCAATTTCGGGGGCAGATCGATACTCTCGCCCCGTCCCTCCCCGTGCCAGCCAAAACGATCGCAATCTCGTTATAATTAACAGCCTGTGATTGGCCGAATACATCGTCGCTTCATATTCAAGTTACCATGCGTAATTAAGTTTTGCACTGTGTACTTGTATGTCAAGGGTCAACAGTGGAAGAGCTGTTCATCATTGAAGTACGTTGTAACGCGACATCGTTCAGGATAATAGTTAGCATGAGGCATATGTATGTTGACAGTTTTTCTGATTGAAGAATTAGCTTTCGCGGCTAATTCTGATGTAATTTAGGTTTTTCGCGCTGTTGAGCCATCTACAGTGGCGCTGTCGGCGAGAGCGAAGTGCTCGGCTTGGCGGGTCGATTGAACTGATCGGTCAACTGGGTGGGCGTGCGGTTTTATAGGCGATCGACGGAGTGAAGACTGAGCTGCCTGGTGGGGGTACTCTGGGTCCCTTGAGTGACGTGGTTTTTGCGTTGCAGATACTTTTTCTTATTTCTTTATTCAACTTTATTCAACTTTTCATAGACAAAATAAAACAAAAGAATAGTATCTTGAAAACCACAAAAGTGCAAAATTGAGGAGGTGGAGTGTTATCCTAGGGGTATTTCTCAACTCAACCTTTAAAAAAATTCTGTATCTGTATCATGAACATATTTAAGGGAAAACCCAATAATAAAGGTAAACATAAGTATCCTTGATAGTGTTCAAAGTTTTTCCAAAGTTAGAGTTATTCAAAGTTTATTCAAATTCAAATTCAAAAACCAATATAAAAAAACAACCTTCAGTACAATTTAAATAAAAAAAGCTTCAAAAATACATGAGCTAGTATACTCTTGCTACCCTGAATAACCAAGATTGCAACAGAAATCTGAGCAAAGATGCTAGCATCAGATCTAGAACCAGCAAGTAACGGTATATGAATTGTGAAAATTCTGTATACTTTCGTAAAGGGTAAATGTCTGAATCTTGTCGTCACAAATCCTAAATTACGTGTCTGCATAAACAAATCTAAAATTCATAACAATAGTACAGAAGCATACTAAAAAAAACACTCGGAAGCATAAATATAGAGTACATAAAATATGAATATCTGAAATATGATAATATAGGGATATTTCGAGTAAGGTCAAACTATGTTGTTCAAACAATAAAAATTTTGCGTGAAGGTTAAGCAGAGAAACAAGAGTACTACAATTTACTACAAAAGAATTTACTACAAAAGAATAGA